AAGAAGCCTGGGGAGGTGAAGGAAAAAGCCCCCAAGAAGCGGGCAGCCGCGGCCAAGCCGAAGAAGCCGGCGGCCAAGAAGCCCGCCAGCGCTGCTAAGAAGCCCAAGAAGGCGGCGGCGGTGAAGAAGAGCCCCAAGAAAGCCAAGAAGTTGGCGGCCACCGCGGCGAAGAAGGCGGCCAAGAGCCCCAAGAAAGCCGCCAAGGCCGGCCGCCCCAAGAAGGCAGCGAAGAGCCCGGCCAAGGCGAAGGCGGTGAAGCCCAAAGCAGCCAAGCCCAAGGCGGCCAAGCCCAAAGCGGCCAAGGCGAAGAAGGCGGCGCCCAAGAAGAAGTAAATTATACAAAGAAAGTCCTGCTTTAGATCTTTTGTTTATCCAACGGCTCTTTTAAGAGCCACCCACACTTTCCCTAAAGGAGCTGAGGCACCGAGGTCGTGAGTAACCCGCAGTAAGGATCCAGTAATTCGTAAGTCGTCAGAGGGCAATTGTGTCTTTGTATCCCTTGCGATTACTGAAAGAAACCCTAATGAGCACGGTGTAACGCGACGGCTTTAGGGAAGTGAAGACTTTAAATCTCTTATCCGAGTAATTGGTTTGACTACCTGGAAACAATGTTTTATAGCAATGATTTGATAGAAATCGGATTTATGCTTTTTTTAAAAAATATATTTTCTAACAAAAGGCACGCTACTACTGAGCCATGTTTAATATATTGTATTATTACTCTTAAAAGTGTCTACTGAAGTGGTTTTGTCTGTTTGGGGGAGGAAGGGAGAGGGTCTCCTTAGTGACTTGAAAATAGCCCGTAAGCGCTCCCAATCCTTTTGTTCCCGATGAGAAAGAAAAAGCTTTAACTATTGAAAAAACCCGCCCTGACCAAGGATTGGCCAGCAGAGAGCCCGGCCCGCTGCCCCTTCCCCCCCCCTTCCCTGAAGACGATTACGCCGCGTTCTCTGGTGCAGTTTCAGCCACTCCCGGAGAAGCACAAAGCGGAAGAGGGGGGGCGGCCCGGAGCTCCCCCCGCCGGGCTGTGTTCCCGTGTTCGCGGGCATAAGGACTGAACAGACAATGTCCCGTAGCAGGAAGAAATTGCTTTGAGAGGACTTTTTAACACGACTTTGTATTAACGATGGAAAGCGTTGCTACTATCACCAAGCCAAAAATAGTTAATAAACAGAGAAAACAAGACGAAACACGGGTTGAGTAATTAATGTAAAATAGCCTAATTGCAGTAAAGATAATTGAGCTCTCTTATGATTTTGTGGGCGGCTCTGAAAAGAGCCTCTGGATTATTTTCTGCGGAAGAAACAACGGGCCGCTTTTCCTTTGTGTTTACGTGGCTTTAGCCTTGTGGCTGTCGGTCTTCTTGGGCAGCAGCACGGCCTGGATGTTGGGCAGCACCCCGCCCTGCGCGATGGTCACCTTGCCCAGCAGCTTGTTGAGCTCCTCGTCGTTGCGGATGGCCAGCTGCAGGTGGCGGGGGATGATGCGCGTCTTCTTGTTGTCGCGGGCCGCGTTGCCCGCCAGCTCCAGGATCTCGGCCGTCAGGTACTCCAGCACGGCCGCCAGGTACACCGGGGCGCCGGCGCCCACCCGCTCCGCGTAGTGCCCGATGATTCCTCACTCACAGGAATAACCTGCAGCAATAACCGATCAGCCGCCCGGCGCTCCCCAGCTCTAGTCCGTCCTTCCCGCCTCGGCCCTTCACTGATGGGCTGAGCAGCAGCGCTTCCCTGGGCAGCCAATAAGAAAGCGGATGGAATTTCGACCAATAAAAAACGGCTCAAGGGTCTTTATGAAGCGCAGTCGAGTTCGGACCAATGGCAGCGCGCAGATGTGATACCTCATTTGCATACGAGCGCTATAAATACTTAGGACGCAGCTCTGCCTCCCTACTCGCTCTTTGGCGATAGAGCTGCCTTCCGTCAGGTCTGTGGGACAAGAGTCTTTGCTGCCATGCCCGAGCCGGCCAAGTCCGCCCCCGCGCCCAAGAAGGGCTCCAAGAAAGCCGTCACCAAGACGCAGAAGAAGGGCGACAAGAAGCGGCGCAAGAGCCGCAAGGAGAGCTACTCGCTCTACGTGTACAAGGGGCTGAATCAGGACATCACGAACGCGGATTGTCCAATAGGCAAGAAGAGTTTTGAGTCATTCATTTGCATACCGTCCCTATAAATAGGGGTGTCGCGGCTATTGTGTTTACGTCGTTCCTGCGGTGGACAGGTAGTGACAGTCCTGTAAGATGCCGGAGCCAGCTAAATCCGCTCCTGCTCCCAAGAAGGGCTCCAAGAAAGCCGTCACCAAGACGCAGAAGAAGGGCGACAAGAAGCGGCGCAAGAGCCGCAAGGAGAGCTACTCGATCTACGTGTACAAGGTGCTGAAGCAGGTGCACCCGGACACGGGCATCTCGTCCAAGGCCATGGGCATCATGAACTCCTTCGTCAACGACATCTTCGAGCGCATCGCCGGCGAGGCCTCTCGCCTGGCGCACTACAACAAGCGCTCCACCATCACGTCGCGGGAGATCCAGACGGCCGTGCGGCTGCTGCTGCCCGGCGAGCTGGCCAAGCACGCCGTCTCCGAGGGCACCAAGGCTGTCACCAAGTACACCAGCTCCAAGTAGAGCGTCTCGGATCGTCGGTTTTTAACCCAAAGGCTCTTTTAAGAGCCACCCACTTTTTCATTAAAGGAGCTGTACAATCAAATACGGAAAACAAACAAAAAAATAATCCTTAGTTTCTTAGTGTAAGTTCTCAGTTTTCAGCTACTTAAACTCAGTTTTGAGAAAATATTGATGTTTCATTTTTCTGTGTCCGAAAATAAATTGCCTTTTGGGAGTAGCAAATTAGTCGGATTAACTAAAGTTTTATTTCTCGATTACAGCGTTTCCTTAATTTAAGTTTCTATTAAAGTGTTGGGGGTTTTTATCAGTTGGAAATACGTAATTGCAGTAACAACATCTATCACTTGGTGGTGCTCAGTCTTTGTTGTATCAGGAGCGAGAGTTGTCCTCCGCACACTAAAAGAATTTATAGACTAACAAGTCACGCTTTTCTTAAGCTGTTACCAATAACCCATTGGTAAATACGGTACTGAACTCCGTTCTAAAATTTGCTGGCCTTCAGCAGTTTTCTTTATAATGTTACTGTGCATCTAATTTGAACTTAACTTGGATAGCTTCTCCCTGTAGCTGCTTTAGGTAGGTAATATTTTCCTTGTAGTAAAAAAGAAATAATAATATATTAGCAAATGGTAGATTAATTTTTTTTCATACCTATCTGAACTTTCCTGTATTTATATGTCGTTAATTGCATTAAAACCTAAGAAAGCAGCCACTGTGGGCTGACTCTGTAAGCTATCACAGCTCATCAGCCTTAAGTCTTTCAGTTTCAAACTGCAGACTTTCTGAATCACTTTATCACATTCTCGGGTAATTAGTCACTGCTGTGCATTCAGATAAAAGCCATTATCACCTTCTCTGTCTGGATCTGAATAATCTCGAATTGCAAGCCTGTTTTCTGGGCACACCAGTTTATACCAAGACATCACAATCACATAAGTCAACCTTTCTAGTACTGAGTGCATGCTGTTTGCTAGTACACATATGGAGACATGCACAAGGCTTCTCTTCAGTCTGCCACCAATTCATCAAATTTAATTTCAGTCTGAAGGCTGATTAGGACTTCTGGGAATGCGTTTCAGATATTCAGTGCAGACATTCAGAAGCATCTTCCATATGCTGTTCTTCAGTAACTTTAAACGGGGTTTACACGTCTGCTCTCCAAGTTCCTTAGTGCAAAATCTGATACAGAAATCCAGAATATGAAAACTATGTCTACGTTGAAGACCTAAACAGATTAATAAACCCTGGTATATTTCAGGCTCTAGGTTTTTGTGTAACAGGATGTGTTTGACTAGAAAGGGACTAGCAAATACAATATACTAAAAGTGCTCATGTTTTGACAATGGTGATGATTAGAAGAATTTGTCAGTGGCTATTATTCTCTATGATCAGTCACAAAAATCAGAAATTCAGTTTTGTTGTTATAGTTTGGACAGCTGTTCTATTGCCTCAGCCCATCTGAGAAAAGGAATCAGGAAAAGAGGCCTGTGGGTCAAAATGAAAAACAGGCTTAATATAACAATTATGAACTAATAATAACCCCAATACTGATGTAATACAAAGTTATACTCTGCTCCATATAATAGTCACAAGTTGTACATTCCTAGCAGTGAATACTCGATGTCCAACCCTGCCAGGACAGCAGCTCCAGCAGAATGCAAGTCACAGCAAGCAGAGGAGGAGGCCTCAGGATGCAGGATGACTGATGAGACAGACCTTCTGTGGAAGGCTACCATTTTAGAGGAAAAAATATCCCTTCAAACTTCCTGGTATGTAGTGAGAGTGATGGTTATGGTATGGAATACTTCAGTTGGCCAGCTTGGGTCAGCTGGCTTCCTTGCCCACTGCACCTGTGTGGTTCAAAACTCGACCTTGGTCACTGTGGAGACCTGCAGACCAGAGCTAGCTATAGGTGAAAACAACACATCTGATCTCTTTTATTCTCACAGTATTGGAATCTGCAGCCTCTCAAAACTACAGTTTCTCTGAACAGAAAAAATGGTTTAATAATTCTGTTCCAGCAAAAGCAGGACAGTTGTCTTGAAAATTTATATATTTTTCCCTATTAAAAACCTGCCTGGATGCAGTCCTGTATAATGTGCTCAAGGTGATCCTGCTTTAGTGGGGGAGTTGGACTAGATGATCAGATAGAAGTCCCTTCCAACTCTTGACAATTCTGTGAGAAGACCCTCGTTCAAACTACAGCTATCAGGGAGCAGTGCTGTTGCCTGAATTAAGGTAGGAGTTTGGTGATGCTTTTTGGCTTCCCTGCTTAGGAATTCATAAGCATTCCTTTTGTCTTTCCTGTCTTTGTGTGCTCCATGCTGCACTCCTTATGATTATCTTTCCCAGAAATTTCAGGGATCATCTATTTTTATTTTTTTATTTTTTCAAAAAAAAGGCTCTTCCCAGAAAATATCACCCAGCAGCACCAAGATGGGCCAGTGTTCAAATATATCATCCTCGTGCAGCAGGAGAATTATGACACAGCCACCTAGACCATGATAGGAATTATGCAGATGCCACTTCAACAGGGCTCAGCCCTGGATTCCTGTTCAAAGAAAATGAGTTTCCAACCCCCTAAGAATATAAGTGATTTATTTCTCCAGCATGCAGAGCATCTTGAGCTGGGTGACTCTGAAGAGGGAGTCCTACTACAGATCACACCCTGCAATTAAACCCCTACCACCCAGTACCTGATTTCTAAGTCCAATCATTTATTTTGCTCAATGGTGCTTTGGTTACTTTCTGGTTTTCTTGGTCACTGGCTGGCCTCCTGCAGTTACCTTGTCTGCTTGAAATCGTTTCCTTGGTCCTTATCTTCTTTTTTCTGCTTGCATCTGCTGGTTTCAGCTAGTTCAGTGTCTGCAAATTCAGTTCTATAAAAAATTCACTCTTTATCACCTCTTGTGGCCTCTGGTTTCAACTGAATTAGCTTCTAATGCTAAGCAAGGCTCTTATTCCTAACAGTTCTCAACACAGGGAAGTGGTAGAATACATAATCTTTAAACAGGCCCCTTGTGTTGTATTTTTATCTACCCCCCCATGCCTACCTTCAAAATTCCAATTTTCAGACCAACTGAAATATAGGGTATACTTATTTCTGGTTATACAAGCATTTTTTTTGGTCAAAATGCTTATATCACATTTTATATATCAAATTACCAGAGCTAAATTACAGTTCATTCCTGTAGTGAATAACCAGCTATAAAGAATACAAAACAATTCAAACAGTTACCAAAAAATCTGCTATCTTATTTTTAATAGAATAATGAAGTTAGTAGCATTCTTGGAAAAAAGTATCTTCTCTAGCTCAAGACACTTAACAGTTAAATATATATTTCTTTGTCATCATGTTTAAAGAAAAAAAAAAAAAAAAAAAAGCTTTTATTTCTGCAACTGTGAAATACACCAAACAACTGTATTCTCTAGTTAATTGACCAAACAGTCAATCAGGAATGAGAAATAAAGACATGCCATACACCTGATCCAAAATCTCAACAAATCACACACTGACTACAGGGAGTTACACTACTTCCTGGTGTGGTTTGTTTTGGTGTTTTGGTTTTGTTTTGTTTATTTTAATTTTTTTCTTGTATACTCTGTTTTTGTTTGTTCGTTTTTGAGTTTGTTGGAGGCTTTTTGGGTTTGGTTTATTGTGGGTTTTTTGTTTAGCTTACTGGAATAAATCAATATTTGCTCAGCTATTTATGCAGTCAAATTGTTTTTCCTAATGGCCAGAGATTGCAACTTGTCAATGCACAAGGCAAATTGTTGCAACATTAGCTTTCCACAGAGTTCATTTTTTTTCAGTTTTAATAGAAACCAATCTATTTCAAAATAATTAACATTGAGAGAGAAAGTATTAGCTGCAGCTGGGGGAAAAGATCTGGTCTTATATACACACTTTGATATAGTACTTTTGGCTAGTAATGAAAAAATACCTAGATAACTTGTAAAAGATTGTAAAGGAAAAACTAGAGTTCTTTAGCTCCAGAAACCTGGAATTGGGGTTGAGCTGTATCAGAGTACAGAGCAGCTCAAGATGAGACAAATTTCACCAGAGAAGAGGGCTGGAAATAGAGGGGAATGCAGCTGGAAACACCCTTTGCTCTTTCCCAGCTTACATACCTGCAAGGAAGGAAGCAGAGGCAGCTCTGTCTTCCTGGACTAAAGTCAAAGAACAAGAGGCCAAATAGGGTGAAAAGTTTTGGGGTTGTTGGTTTGTTGGTTT